ACTGCTATTTTCCACAGATTTCATGGCAAAATCATCCAAGATGCTTTGATTAGATTTAATTTATCTCAGATCTGATATAAAGGTAGAATACTAAAAAATTAATGTTTTCATAGAAAGATAGCAATTGAAAATAAGAGGAAATAGTAAAGTAATATGAAGAGAGCTTACATTGAAATGAATATATAATTAGATTGAGATAAATGTGACAACGGAGAGAATTTCAATATTGTAATTTTTCTGCTTTTTTAGACTTTACCTTTGGGGATAGAAGAAATTCACTTATGAGAAATTAATATTGTTTGCCAAGATTAATAGGCATAGAGCAAAGTTAGTGGTATTAAGATGAAGGACTTTTAATTATCTTGCCAATATATTTATTCAAATATTTATTTTATCTTGTTTTATTAATACACTTTTTCATATCACCTATATATTTTAATATCACCATCTCACCCCTCCCCCAAAACCCTTTCTGTAATTATAAAGAAAAAATATTAAGCAAAACCAACACAATGATTTCATGTGAAAACTTATGAAACTTTCCAAACTCATGGTTCCCTGCATGTCTATTAAATGGAGGGGTGGTATGTTTCATCACCTGTCTTTTCAAGACAATATTGGTCCTTGACTTTGTTGTGAGTTCAGCTCACATTTTAGTCATTGTGTATATTGTTTTGATTCTTCTTTTTCCCCTTTGCATCAGTTTGTATAGACCTATTGTAACTCAGAATTTCTCATTTTCATAATTTCTTATGGTGTAATAATATTTCATTGCATTAATATAACATGATGGGAAATATATTTTGCATGAGTCCACATGTGTAATTGATATATTGCTTCTCAATGGGTGGTAGAGGGACTGGATAGGAAAGAACTCAGGACTCAAATTTTAAAAGAATGAATGTTAAAAATAAATAATTTATTAAAACCATTAATATGGAGTAGTTCAGCCTTTCTCTAATTGATAAATACCTGCTTTCTTTCCTTTTTTTTTTCAATTTTGCTACCATAAAAGAAGACTTCTATACCTATATTGATATTTGTGAGATCTCTCTATATATACATATGCCCAGTGGCAGGGTTGCTGGGACAAAGTTTATGAATAATTTAGTAACTTTTTTTCAAATAATTCTAAATTATCATTCAAAATAAACTAATTCATAGCTTCACCAACTTCTTTATTGTACCTATCTTCCCTTAACTCTTTGAGCACTGACTATTCCATCTTTTATCATCTCTTTCACTTTAATAGTTATGAGGTAAAACCTTAGAGATGTTATAATATGCATTTTTTATTAGTGATTTGGGGAACTTTTTTCATATATTTGTTTTATGATTTGTAATTCTATTTTTGATAATGATTCAAAGTCTTTGATCACTTATGCATTGGGGAATGGATCTAATTCTTTTATATTCATGTTAATTCTCTATATATCTGGGCCTTTATTCAAGGTATATGATTGAAGATTTTCCTACTTTTCCTAATTCTGCTTGTATTGATTTTGTGTAAAACTTCCTAACTTTTTATATAACTGAAATCGTATGTTTTGTTTCCTGTTAACTCTTCTATTCCTTTTTTCTTTTTCTTTTATTTGTTGCTAGGCAATGGGGTTAAGTGACCTGTCTAGGGTCTCACAGCTATTAAGTGTCACATGTCTGAGGTCGGACTTGACCTCAGGTCCTCCTGACTACAGGACTGGTGCTGTATCCACTGCGCCACCTAGCTGCCCTTCTCTTCCTTTCTTCATTTAAAATTTTCTGCCTATCAAAGATCTGCAAGGTTCTTCTTTCTGTTCTTTAATTGTTTCATAATGTTACTTTTAATATTTGGATCACATATCCTTTTAGAGATTATTTTGGTATGTGATGTAAGGTTCACTTTCTTGGCATTATTCCTGATTCTTCATTCTCCTTCACCCTCCATATCCAATCAGTTGCACATCTTGACATTTGTTCTGCCACCACATCTTTCCCATCTGAATAGCTCCTACTTTTTACTCATACAGCTGCCAAGCTGCCGCCTTATTTCAGGTCCCCATCTTCTCTTGTCTTTATTATTGTAGTGGCCCCTAATTGTTCTCAGTCTTTCCCCACTCCAATCCCTCCTCCATATAGCTACCAGAATGATTTTCTTTAGGTTCAGATTGGAGCTTGTTATTTTTACTCAATAAACTCCAGTACCTTTCTTTATTGCCTTCAAAATGTTGCCCAAATCTAATTTTCCAGCCCCATTTTACATTTCTTCCCCTACCATGTGCTTTGATTTAGCTAGACGGACCTTCTTTCTGATCCTGGTAGATGACACTACATCTCCCTCTCTGTCCCTTGGCATTGGCCATTTCCCTAAGCCTAGAAGCCATTCCTTCCTCACCTTCACCTCAGATAATCCCACTCCTTCGAGGTTCAGCTCAGCTCCACTTTCTACATAAGTCCTTTCTAACCCACAGGTGGTAGTGACCTCCCCTACCTTGTCTTTTCTTAATATATTTCTATATATTTTTATTCTGTTTATGCTGACATATGTTGATTTCCCTGATAGAGTATAAACTCCCTGAGATCAGAGATAGTTTCTATAGGGACTAGCTCAGTGCCTGGCACATTGGTGCTTATTAATGCTTATTGATGAGTTGTTTTGAAGATGTTAGTCTAAACCAATACTTTTTTGGCCAAACCACCTTCTAATTTTTCCAGAAATTCTGGTCAAATCAGGATTCCTTACTCTACTAGTTTGAGTTCTTGAGTTTATTAAGCATTAGGACATTGTGTTTGTTTACTTCTGTGTCTTCTTCATTTATTCTTTTCTGCCGATCTACTTTTCTGTTTTTTAGAGATAAGGATAGGGATAGGACCTGTGATTTCATTAGTATAGGGAACTCTGAGATAAGTAACTCTCTTTTCTTATGCAGGTCAGCATGTTCACTTCAATTTATAGTCTTAGAGTTGCCTAGATCACTGTGAGCCTAAGTGTGTCTTGCCCAAAGTGTCACAGCCAGAATGTGTCAGAGGTCTTAAACCTAGGTCTTCTTGTCTAGGTGTCAAGGATGGAATTTTACTGCTGCTAGACTGATACCTCCTCCCCCCCCCCCCCCCCCCCCCCCCAAGTAGAACACAGCATCTCAGCTGAAAAGGTGGCTTAGCTGAGGTTATTCATGACAAGGAACATTTTGAGTACAGGAGTGATCTGCTGAATAGTTTAATCCAGGCAGGGCTGGGAGGATTACTCAGCATCTGGGCTGAATAGGTCTATCTCTCCTACATCCTTTGGGCTCATTGTTTATCGGGCAGCTACAGCCTTAGGATCAGCTGGGTGTTACTTTGCTTTTTAAGCTGCAGTGTTATAGTGCTTTTATAAGATAGTGTGCTATTGTGCTCTTTCAGGAAGAGCAGACACCCTTGGGGGGGGGGGGGCAGAAATCTCTTCATTCTTGCTCTCACAGTATTTCCATTCAAGAGATTTGTTACCTCCCAGGTAGAGGTTAGGAGAGGTAAAGTTTCTCTCATTTGATGCTTCTTTTTTGGTGCAGGGAGGGACCTCACCAGAATTTATGGTGACAACTTGCAGATTACTGTTGGGTCTTGTGCAAATAAGTGTCTGGAGCTAAAGATATTGTGGCAATCTGTGTCCTAGGTAAAATTAATTGTCTCTATTGGCTTTTCCTAATGAAAACATTCGAATCTCATCCAAAGTTTAGAATGCTTTAAACTCTTACAGCTGGAGCATAGAGAATATCCATCAATCAATCAACCATTCAGTAAATATTTATCGTCTACTGCCTATCAGGGTATTGTGCTAGATGCTGAAAATTCAAATACAAAAATGAGACAGTCTCTTTCCTTATGAAGCATATATCTTACTAGTATATGAATTATGCCATGAAATAAAGCCGGGGTATTAGATTTCAGGCAAATTGTGGAAGATTTTGTATTTTATTTTGGTGACTAATGGAAAACCACTGAAGATTTTAATTCAGGCAAGTTTTTCTGTGTATCAGGAAGAGTACTTTAGCAGTGCTGTGAAGGATGGATTGTAGTGAGGAGAATTGGAGGTAAGGAAACCAAGCCACTAGTCTAGGCAAAAGGTGATGAGGTCCTGAACTAGGGCAATGCAAATAGAAAGGGAGAGAATTCAGAGGTAGGCTTTGACAGGAATTGGCAATTGATTCAAAGAGGTGGGTGAAAGAAAGGGAAGAAAGGGACTACAGGAATGATTTCCATGCTTCAAGTTTGGGTGATTAGGGGGATGAGTAACAAATATCAACATAAATGAAAGTTAGGTAGAGGGAAAGGTTTAAGAGATAATAATTCTTTATATATGAAGTTAAGGTTTGCAAAAAAAAAAGATGATTGAGTCTTAGATGGTGGAGATCTGAGGTGTCAGAAGAATGTCCATATGATGTGCAGCAGGAAACTGGACATGTGGGACTAGATCTCAAGTTAGAGAGAGGTAGCAGCTTCAAATTCATCTGCATAAGGGCTATGACTGGAGCTATTGGAATAGCTGAGATTATACAATGAAAGAAAAGAAACTGGTCAGAAAGAAAAACAGGAGCTTGGCATAAGCAAAAAATGAACAAATTTGTGTTCAACCTAAGAACTTTCTAATATAAATAGGCAGAAGGCCTGTCACTGAAAGTATTCAAGCAAGGCACCTATTAGAGATGCTGGAGAAAGTGAGATGAACTAACTTTGGAGTCTCTTCTGACTTTAAATTTCCAATATGCTAAGAGTACATATTTGTGATACATATAAAACACATGGCTATTTTAAAACTAAAATTTCAATCTAATTTCCATTGTGTCTTAAAGTATTTTAAGAATAAAAAAATTAATTCTGAGCTTTTATGTGATGCTATAATTATACATATTTCACTTTAAGATTTAGTCATAGTTCATGCCTTGATCTCTATAAAAATATATTTAAATACTGTCACAAAGAAAAGTAGAAAAATTTATAAAACTAACTCCAGTGGATAAAGTACTACAATTTTCTTTTGCATTTAGGTTTGCAATGCAAATTACTGCAGTAGCAGAAAATTGTATTCTTACTATTTATCCATACTTGGCATATCACATTGATGATCAAAAAATTATGTTGAAGGAAGGTAAGTTATTTGCTTTAGTATATATTTTTTAACCTACCAATATTTACTTGGTATTGAAGAGAGATCTACTATACTAAAAATAAAAGAGAGAAATCCATTTCTTACCATTTCTGAGTCATATTGATTGATTATGCAGTGTGAGCAGTAACTACAAAAAGAGATAACAGAAAGATAAATTTGAAAATATGCAAAGCAATGTGTCTCAACAAGTTGCTTTCAATAGTGAAGATTTCCACAGAATAGATTACAGCCAGGTCTATTCTTTCCTTTAGAAGTCATCAATAGTAGTAATAAACTATTTATATAGGATCTTAAAGTTTACAAAGCACATTACAGATATTACATCATTAGAGCTTCACCACAACTTGTTGAGGTAAGTATTTTGGATATTGTTGGTTCTTCCATGATTCGTATGATCTTTTGCAGGTGCCTTCATTTTTCTAGGCCTCAGTTTCCCTATCTGTAAAATGAGGGGTTTGGACTAGTTGACTTCTTGGTTTTTTTTGGCAATTGGGGTTAAGTGACTTGCCAGGGTCACACAGCTAGTAAGTGTCAAATGTTTGGTCTGAGACCAGATTTGAACTCAGGTCCTCCTGACTTCAGGGCTGATGCTCTATCCACTGCACCACCTAGCTGCCCCAACGAGTTGACTTCTAAAGTTCCTTCCCACTCTTAAGTCTACGATTCTAATTGAACAAATGACAAAACTGCAACAGATTAAATAACTTACTCATGGTCACATAGCTAAGGAGTGTGATACCTAAGATTTAAACCCAGGTCTTCCAGACTCTAAGTCTAGCACTTTATCCACAATCCTCTGCTGCCTCTCAAAGAAGTCTGCTTTGGTTCAGGGTAGCAATGTCTGTGTTAGGGCAGTTTGAAGAAAATTTATATCCATATAGTTTGGGATTTGTCGTTCAGGTGCTTAGTAATAAGAATAGCTAAGAATCTTATAAAGGAGGTACTATAATGTTATGCCTCTCTTGAAAATGAAAAATCGAAGCTCTGAAAGATAATGTGACTTACCCAGGATCATATAGTAACACACAAGTGTTTGAGGCAGGATTTGGACTCAGATTTTCCTGCTCAAAGTTTAGAGATCTATACATAATGCCACTTACCTGCTAGCCCTAGATAAAAGCATATAGTAGGATATTTGTCTCCAGTGTTACTCCCTTTCCTCTGGTGTTACCTTCTTCAATACACTTCAATTTAATTCAATTTAGTTCAAGGCAACATAGTGTTGTATTGTTGAAACTGGCATCAGCTGACTTAGTAAACCTCACTACCTGTGTGTCATGGGACGTTAATTAACTTTCCCTAACCTCATTTTCCTTATTTTTATAATTAAGATTTTGTTCATTTTTTTTTATATAAGGCTTCTGTAGATGATTCACTCAGTATACTGGACTGGAGGACTTTTATTAAATAACAAAACAAAACATAACTATTCAAAAGATATACAAAGGAAAAATGACTAACTCCCTATCCTGAAGAAATTTACATTCTGATAGAAGGGATATGATATGTATGCACATAATTATAATGAAAGGTTTAATGTACTTAATGAAAATGAGACTCTTCATGCGAAGTGTTATTAGAAATTTGAGAAAGGAGAGATCACTTTTAGCTGGAGGGTATTGAATCAATCACAGAATCAGTCAACCAATTAAGACTTACTAGAGTAGCTGGCATCTGAGTTTGTCCCTGTTGGAAAGGAGGGATTCTGATTGAAATTGATGCAGAGTGGATTGAGAGAGAGGAAAACCATGCGAGTCCAGTGTTATGGAAACCAAGAGAGAAAAGAGTACCAAGAAAAGAAAGTGGTCATCAGTCTAATGTAGTAAAGAAGTGAAGAAATAATATAACAGCAAAAAAAAAAAAAAGGCCTTTGGTTTTGGTGATACGGAGGACATTACAAAACTTCATGAAAGCCACTTCAGTAATTGCTTAGTGTATAATACCCTCCACTTTGAGCAGAAGAACAAAGAAAAGGGTAGAATTATTTTTATAGATAATTGAGCAGTTTTTAAATATCACAGCCTTGGTTGGTAAAAAAAAAATTGTAGTTGGTGACTAGCTTTTTATATAATGATTTAAGTCTTAGCTAATAGTAACCCCAAAGAATTAGTAAGCATAGAAAGATTTAAAACATATTTTAACATGTTAGTTTCAATTATTGTTCATTCTGTTGTTATATTAATGTTTTTATATTTTATTTAATTTTTGCAATAAATGTTACATTAAATATAATAGATAAATTAACACATATTTTTAAAATATTCATGTAATATGGTACTTGATTCCTTGATTAGCATTTAAGACAAATTTAAAAATGTTTCCCTTCACAGTAAAAGAGTGTGATAAAATATGTAAGATGAAACCCAATGTGAATGGTTAAGTAGAGTTGGAAGCACAGAGAGGCCATATTTAATTCATACAAGAAATATTTCTCATTTTTATTTATCCAGAACACTAAATTAGAGTTGGTGTGAGAATCCAATTCTAAACTTTTTTTTTAGTATAGTGTTAAAAATTAAAATGATTGAATAAAAATAATGATTCTTCTTGTAGAAATAAGGGTTTTAGGGGTAGGTATGTGGCACAGTGAATAGAGCTCTAGGCTTGGAGTCAGGAGGACCTGAGTTCAAATCCAGCCTCAGGCACTTAACACTTACTAGCTATGGGACCTTGGCCAAGTCACTTAATCCCGATAACCTCACCAAAAAGAAAAAAAAAAGAAATAAGGGTTTTTTAAGAGAGAGAGAACTGTAAAAGAAAAATGATGAATGATTTATTGAGTGTTACATAAACTCTTTTAATACTTGTTCCAGAATATTTATCTGACTAGATACTGTGCAATTTATTTTTCATAGATAAGAAGAGACATACTTCAGCCAAGGGAATACTGAATCTCACTTCTTCCCCAAGAATACTATCTTCCACTAATAGCACCTGTACCAGTACTAGTGATTCTGAATTACTCCATCAAGATTTCCTTTTGAGTATGTTATAGAGATATTGTTTACCTCTAAAACTAAATCTATGTAGCATTAAATTTATAAGCTCATTTTTGTGATACAGCTTGCCTAAGCAATATAGTTTGGGAAAATTATAGTTAATTCTCTATCACTCTTAGATGGGTCATCTGCTCTATGGATTATCTCTATTGAACAGGGCCAGGTACAGAATATGACTGTGTGTACATATAATACTTTCAAATAATAAACATTTTAATTTGAAAGATCTAAAATGTATTATTTGCTATTTTTATATTATATATTTATACATTACATTATATATAAATATGCTATATTAATAATTTCTGCTATTCTTCTTAAGTGTGCATAGTTAAGCATTGACTATAATTCTTTTTTTGAATTGAGCCAAGTGAAATTAAGCTCAGTATGTTTTGCACAGGCAGACATTTTCAGATAGAGTATTTGATATTTTACTGTATTTGGAATGATTCCAAATAAACCCAATGCATTATTATTTTAGTTAAAATAGAAGTATTTGTGTATCTGAAAGGATTCCTGCTGGCATTGGTGTTCTAATTAATGTTCTATCCTGATAGGAATTTTATAGATATTTGACTTATATTATCAGGAAAGTGAGAAGCATTCTTTCGTGAAAACGTTTTCACATCACATATTTCATAAGAATAAAGTGTTATTCTCTCAGTTAAAATCCATGTGTTTCTACATCACTTCTGTTTGAAACTTTTCAAAATATTTTGTTTGTTTTCCAGGCAGTGTTAACTGGCTCAAAATTTCTACTAAGTGAGTTTAGGATAATTTATAGTAAGATGGGGACAATACAATCTCTGCCTTGCCATAAGTGAGCCAAATTCTGTAAAACGATATTTTGCTAAATACTATAATTTAACAGTATTGGTAGCAATCAATTGTAGCCATCAATAATATCCATTCCTACCTTTAAGTATAAATAATGCAATTAATGGAAAACTAACTTTTTTGGGGAGGGGGCTTTGCTAATTTTTGATGTGTTCCATAGGTGTATTTTTTGTTGAAGGAAACAAAATATTCTTAACAAATAATTATAAATGTTTAGGTATTGATCTGGTATGTGAAAATTTACCATCACAAGGAAGTGAAAAACCAAAGACAGAAGAAAATGAATATGTGAGTGTGAAACAGGGACAATATTTTTTTCCTGATGAAGACAAAAAGGAATATCCATTTTTTGAGAAAGTTGTAACTGCAGTTCAGACATGGTTTAGTCTCTTTGGTTGGTCTCAAGGACTCAATCCAATTTCTGTTCCAGAGAGCATAAGAAGGTGAGGATAATTATGATTAGCCAGTTACCATGTTGAACTAATATAATGAACTACAAACTTACAATAGGGATAATTTAAAACAAAAATTTATTTAAATACTATAGAATAAGTGAATAAAATTATAAAGTATCCTTAACCAGCTTAGTAAAATTATATATCGAATACACATTTATATCTAGTATGAATTCAACTGCATTGCTTAGCATACATAAACATTTGTATTTTCCATTTCACTAATCCCTCACCAGTTGTGTGACCTTTTCCAACTCACTTAACCATTCTGAATCCCCATCTGTTAAAGGAATAACTGCAATGAATGTTATGTAAATTGCTTTCCAAATCTAATAGTTTATGATTGGGAACTTTTAGTGTAATAAAAATTGACTTTATGTACCTCTCTGGTGATGTGAGAAACATGGGGAATGGCCTCCTCTTCCCAAATATATTTCCTACATATCTATTCCTGCTGTTTAAAATTCTACCATGGATTTACTTCTTTCAGTTGATATAACCATTTCTAGAAATCTTCAGTGCTTTAAAGAACTACACTTAAGATGGTCCCTTCTGCACTATAACTTAATAGTCTTTGAGAGCTATTGTGGCTGAAAAATTCATTCTCTTCTGGCCAGTGGCATCAAACTCAAATAGAAACAAAGGTCACTAAAGTGTATATGTAAAGATCCCCATAGGCACATATTGATTTAGAATTATTAACATTTATTAACATATTAACATTATCCACATTTTATTGTACTTATTTTTTATTTTGTTAAATATTTCCCAATTACATTTTGATCTGGTTCAGGCCTCATGCAATCTGCAGGCTACATGTTTAACATCATTGCTCTGGTCAAGTTGACAATGAATGTTTTTGAACTTATCTCAGATGCTAACCATTCAGTCCACCAGTAGGATTCTGTTTGAATTCTGTCTAGCTTGACAGAGACTATCGGGGTTTATGCTTTTGAAAAACCCAGTGCTATCTTCATGTCACAATGAGGAATGAGAGTATGACCTTAGTGGAGATCAGCTCCACATTGTTTAAATGAAAATGCTTCTAGGAGGTGGAACACACACACACACACACACACACACACACACACACACACACACACA